ATATATATATACATGTATATATATATAAATATTACATTATGTATGTATTTGTGCGTATGTATGTTTGACGGATTCTATATTAACATATGAACGTGTTTTATATTCATATATTTTCACTACTCAATGCGCTTATCTTCGAGCAAAGAATTTGCGATCTCTGAAAATCTTGCATAATTTATGCTGTTGAGATACTTTGTGCAGCACTTGGAGAAAGGTGCAAGTGTTAATCTTTCATATATACGTATCTATCGCTCTTTGTGTGATATGGACGTGACCGGGCGCGCATATATATTTTTTTGGTGTTTGGTGTGACGAATTTTATAATTTGACAATTTACCTACCTTTCTACGGAATATGTAGTTGGCAGTGTCGTTGTTCGATGTATATGTATTAATCTGAACACAAACAATTTCTTGTGGATACTTGTCATGTTTCCCGGCTTAAAGCTGTGCACTACTCATGAATTCTCATATTTTATACTAGTGTAGCAATTGTAAAATGCACCGAAAGCGCTACATAATATCTGTACTTGTATGCTTGGATGCATGTACTATATTGTGTATACCAAAGTTATATACTACTCATGAAAACACGTTATTTAGACTAATGTTTACCTGATACACCGATAGTGCTACATCAAGTGTGTACTTGTATGCGGCATATATTGTGAATACCTATTTCTGACACAATCATGATTGACCGCATACGCCTATCAAGTATCTTGTATATATTGTATGTACACCGTTATTGAAATCTCGTGTGTTATACTGTACTGCATTCTCATTCTCATTTTGTCTCTTTCCAAATAGGCTATCGGGTTTGCGGCTGGCATGCTATTTGAATTTGCTGGAGAAACTGATGGCAGCATGACCGAAATTGCTCTAGGCCTACAGACCCTCTGGAAATTACAACAACACGGCGTTGCACCCGTGACAGGTGCAGTGATATATAGGTAAGTTTTCGTATCTGTTTATCGTTGCGTGACTGTTTATCTACCGAAGTTTATTGTCAAGTACTGAATATAGTTCATCATAGGTTTCGAAATGGTCTGTTACTTTGTACACTTTCTCGCGTGAATCTTCCTCATTTCATTTCAAACAGTTAACGTTTTGTTCTTTACTTTGTAGCATCCCGGATGAACTGCCTGAGGTAGACCTTTACATGCAGTACGCTAGTGGCGCGTTCGGGTGGATCATGTTAACAGCCATGGGCACCATACCACTACTCGATGGGATTAGAACTGACAAACAGGCCATTGCTCACCTGACACGTGTACGTGAGGAAGACATAGTCTACACACAGACAACAAGCGAATTGTACAGACCTGCATACTATATTGCTCTGGACAGGCGACGCAAGAAGATAGTGCTGGCTTTCAGGTGTGCAAGTACCTACTTTTCTCTCGGTTACTATAACTTTTCAGGTTGGGGTTCTTTTGTTGTTGTTTTTGTTGCAATATTCTATACAGCCTCATATACATGCGAATGTAAAAGCGTTGTATTTCTTTTGTGTATTTGTATTAAATGTGCCTCGGCATATTGCCAATAAGCGAGCTTGACGAGTGGCATGAGATAGGTAACTTGTGTGGGAAACCTTAAGTGGGTTAAGCTTTTAGAGTCGTTGTGTGTTCGTTCCCAATGCAACCAATCTTCTTTGTGATGTCCCTGTGCAGGTTTGCATCTACGAATGCCCCAGTCGTATCCAAGATAAATCGGCTAATCGACGTACTCTATTCACACTTTTTATATATTTTTCTCTCCCCACAGAGGCTCAAGTAACGCTCTGGATATGCTTACCGATCTGAACTGCGAGAGCATACCTTACTCCTTCAATGGAGTACATGGGGAAGCACACGCAGGATTTGCGCGGTCGGCTCATAGGTAAGCGTCTTTATGCTAGTTTACATAGGTTACATTACATTTGGAATGTTGATTGTCGGTACGTGCTTATATCACATGAGAAAAATTAGCGTTTTATTCCTAGTATAACAGTTCTGACACTCCAACAATTGTTCCTCCAGGTTGAGTACAGAACTCATGCCGATCATGGTTGACTTGTTGCGAGAGAACGAAGGCTATCACGTTGTCCTCACAGGACACAGTCTTGGGGCAGCGGTTGCCACCATGGTTGCGTTAGAGTGGGCGCATCTTTTTGATGATCTGAAATGTTATGCATACGCAGCGCCTGCTTGTGTTTCGTTGCCAGTGTCTTTAGAGGCTCAGTGTGTGGTGACTAGCGTTGTGCTGGGCAGCGATCTGGTTCCGAGACTGTCGCGGACTTCTTTGGAGTACCTCAGGGATGTGGGATTGATGTTAGGGCAGAACCAAGAACTAAGACACGAGGTTATTGCCGCCGTGGCTAGGTGCGAAGGTATATCCACTGAAAGGGGAGATAAAAATGATGACACAGACATAAATATGGACACAGATACGAATGTAGATATGCATATGGATTCAACTAGTGTGCGTGACCACAGACGAGCAAGAGATGACACGAATGGATATATGGAAGATATCGATACCGATGCTACTACTTCAACTTTAAACAGACATGAGAGTCTGGACGGGTTCTTAGGAGAGGACTTGGTGGACAGGTTATCGCTGCTTGACCGCCGCACGTCGGTCGTGTTAAGAGATGACGATTTGAGCCTCCTACGATCTGCTTCTGAGAGCACACCCCATACAGACACCGCTACGCATATCGGTATGCACGCGAGCAACACACCGAGTAGGAGTGCGAGTTGTTCGCCGGCATCTGTAAACCAAGTAATCGCACGTGTGCAGCGATTGCCCAACGATACTAACGCGCAGACAGATGCCGAGGAATGGGTGGCGATCGAAGACACAGTAGAGTCCGACACAGCATCCTTGGATAAAGAGCAAGCTATACAAACCTGCAGGGTTTTGTACGACAAATTGTACGACGCACAACCAAATCGGTTGGAGTTACTTGCTGCCGGGAAGATCTTGTTTTTGTGTCATAAGACCGGTGAGGGTATCCTAACAAACGGGGAGTTGGCACCGCACTGGAGTCGAGTAATACTTTCGCGCAGTATGTTCTGGCTGCATTTGCCTGGATATTATACTCATCACATAAACAACCACAATAGGCTAGCCATAGCTGCTAAGAGCGGCTAATATGTTCTCTTTGGAATAATATTGGCTATTGTAAATAGTATCGGATAAGGTATTAGACAATTCGTAAAATCTTGCAAGTGGGCATGCGTTAAAGTAAATGTTCTTGATGCGCAGTCTGGTTACTTGAACAGATACAATCATAATCATACAAACGTATCTCCCCAAAATAAGACATTGTAACAATAGAAATTGTTTCAACAGAGAGCCCTGAAAACATATAGATCTTGAAATGAAACAAAGGCTATAGAAAACGACATAAATAAAGTCCTGAAAAAAAGGTGCTAACAGATTGAATTGAAAAAATATTTTGAATGGCGATATTTATGTACAT